AGATTGTTCATATTTTTGACTTGTTAAAATATCAATTTCATGGAGAATTCTTTTCAAAGATTTTAGTATTACAACATTTTTGACTAGAGTTTAATTAATTTTGTTAAAACTTTACTGGTTATCACTTACTATTTTTTTACCTTTGTCACATTTAAGGTTAACTATTTGGTATTAATTTTAAAAACCAATTTAGAAATGTTCAGAAATACTTTAATATTTAAACATGTTTCAGTGTAATTTTTGTTAATGATGATAAACTATTTTAGCTCTAACGAAAATATCAGTTCTAGAGAGAATACTTTTACATACATTTACATTTGGTTAAATACGTCAAATTGTAATTAAATTAATATTTGATGCAATTATTTAAATTATTTATCACAAAAAATCCATACTTTTTCCACTATCAGATCATTGCTTTTTCAAAAACAATTTTTCACTTGTTTTGCACACACTTTTGCATTGAATTATTGTCATTGCCGCTGGCATTTTATATTTTTTTGGAATGTCTTTGGTAATTTATTTTTATAAAGTTCTCATTCTCTTTTTGCAATTGCAGTGTTTCCCCGATACGGCACCGTTCCATTCAATTCAAAGTCGCGCTCCCGACTGGCCGAAAAGGGTACAGAACTGATTCTCCAACGCATTATGTCCGGGCCAGGGTTGCCACCTTATATACGGAAAGTCCCCCCTACGCAAGAGAGAGAGGATGGCGGCGTCAGCGACGCCAACGCAGCGACGGCGAGTGGTTGGGGCCGAGGGGGAAAGGGTGAAGCAAGAAATGGTAATAAAAGCAAATGAATCGCACCAAGTGCATCGCACACAGACACACTCATACGAGAAGACGAAGTGCAGCGAAGGGAGAACAGCAGTACCACACATAGGAGTAGGTGTTGGTGAGAGGGAAGGGTAGACAGAGGGGGCACCTACAAGCCGGCCGCCTTTTTGCGTGGCAGTTTTTTGCACAGAGCACTGCACTCTTTGGCTCTTACTCTCACTGTGGGTGCCGCTCTCTTGCAATAGTTGTAACTGCAGGCAAAAGGTGTATCGATGCAAGGTGCGGTATGCCAAACAAAAGCTTTTGCAACTAAATAGGCGACTGGGAAGATCAGGAATTTCTCCTCTTATACACATATACCATGGTCGTAACGCACTCAACTGAATTATAACAGTAAGATACGCATCTCCTTCTCGTCAATCTATGGTAGGCCTGCCTAGCGTCCCCTTAAACCTATATGCCTTGAGATGAGAACTGCATGTAAATAAATATACATATGTGTATGTACATATGTGTGTGTGCTGTAATCGGCGAATTTTTTGTATTATCTTTCCTTCGCCATTGGTCGTGATGCTTACCAGTGTTGATCGCTAGTCGGCAGCGCACCTGTCAAAATGCAAATCTGACATGAGAAGGCCGACGATAATATTTAAGCATTACAATTTTATGGCACAGTACGAAAAGCGAAATATAACGGACTCCGACGACGCGTCATTACGCGAAATAATGCACATACACAGCCACAGACACACACGTACAACCAACATGGAGCAGGGGGACGGACTCCAAAGAAGGCGAAAGAAACAGCAGCGGCAGTCGGAACGCGAGAGCACGAAGAACCGCAATGTGCAACTTTTCAAAATGAAATGCAGCGCCGCTACAGCGTCGACTGTGCCGGCGACAAAAAAAAACGAGTCGGTACGTTGTGAGTTGCTGCTGCGACCGCAACTCTACATTTATACCCGATACTTAGTCAGTATATGTACATACATAGTTCTCCGAGAGAGACAGAAAATCAGTCAGAACGTGTCGTCGTGCGCTGCGTAACCATTTGGTTATAATAATGATCCGATCGGGAATGTGGTAGATATGGTCATTTTATGTAAAATTGTGGATACCACTATATCCTTTACGGGCTCGGAAACACTTTCACCACAAATATAATATACCCCTATACTCATTTTGAGTATCGGGTATAAAAAGCGTCACACTCAAGAGACAACAAAAGTAAAGGAATGACGCGGAGCAACAACAAATATTCGCAAAGAGAGCACCAAAGCTTGCAGTTTCTCTTAGTCAGGTGGCTGTTAGTGTATGAGTTTGCCTCGCTCTCTCTGCGGGTGCTTGTACTTCCATGTGTGTGTGGGTGTGTAGATGCATTTCCCCTTTAACGTTAACCCCACCCCATTACGTAGCATAAGGGTTAGCCATTTTATTTAAAATTTAAAAGACATCCTCAATATTAATTTAAATAATACAAAATAAAATATATTATTAATAACAAACTTTTTCTAATATAAAAAATACATCAATATAATTAATTTTTTTTAAGTTAAATTTATATTTTACAGTAAAAAAGATCACAAAAAGATACTTTTACTTTTGCCGAAAGTCGGGAAAAGGCTCTAGGTCAAAGAGTCTAATATACAAAAATGCATCATATATAACAAATTACAAACTTCTTCAATAGCAAAATTTGTTCAATTTGTTCAAAAAAATGTCCATTATCTATGTTTGACAGTGTATAGTCCACACGCTTTGTTGTACTTTTCCCCACCGTTTATCAGCACTCTTTGAGTGGGCGCCAAATTCAAAAAATTTAGCACAATCTCTCTTTGCGTTATCCTTTAAGCCTAATAATGCTAATTCAACTATAGCCAAGGATAATTCTTTAGCAAATGGGGACAACTATATCATAATACTGCCGAAATGTATGTTATCTGGCTCCAATATATGGAGTAACTAGTTAGTCTCTTTTTTAAAGCTATCAAAGTCTTTATAAACAACGTTTTATATTCATATGAAATTAACGAAATAGGGTATACAAAAAGCCTATGAGCGTATCATGTCTTATCGACGACGTATCATCGACGGCCTAAAATTATGTGGGCATGGCTGAAAGTTCTACATATATAGTCATAGTTAGTCAGTCATATTCCACGGAGGATCAAAAACGAGGAATATGATCCATTTTCGGTATTTTTTAGAGTGAGACCGTATATTTTATTGGGACTTGCTCTCTTTTCTTTGGGACTTGCACTCTATTTTGTGATATCCTCTCTTCGTGGCGGGATTTTTCCACACCACAATGTCCTTTTTCCCCTCAACAATGTCCCTTACATTCCTTACTTACGTTGCCACTGTTTTTTGTTGACCTTTTTTGCTTAAACATTGTTTTATACACTATACAATAAAAGAGAGTACTTAAATGTAGTCAATCAGGTATGAAATTTATTCATTAATGGCCTAAACATATGTGGGCAGAGCTAATGGTTTTAGTTAGGCAGCATTTTCTCTTAAGTTTTATTACGTTTCATTTGTTTTCGCCAAAACCTTTTTTTACGCAAAGTCCAATAAAAGCCAGTATTTAAAACAAGCCAGACACTTAGACAATTGATTCATCTCTGGTATAAAATTATGTGGGTATGGCTAAATGTTCTATATAGCTGAGAATATTCGACGGAAGATACAAAACGAGGAATATGCAAGATTGAACTTGAATGCGTCAGTATATTTACGGTATATTTTTCAAATGAGACGGTATGTTTCGACCCCCATTTCTGAGGGTCACACTGATCAAAACGATTTTAGCAGCAGAGATTTTTTTGGTAAGCTTTTTTGCTTTTTACTCATTTTGCCTAAATCCGCGTTAGTTTAGTTAAAAGTACTAGTGGAGTAGTATTAGCTACTCGAATGGGACAGTGATTGTGAAGTGGACAGTGCCTAGAAGTTGTAAGAACGTACAAATGCAAAGTTAGTCGCTGCGCAGCCAACGCGTAGTTTCTTCGTTCTGGCTGCTCCCACACTCCAAGAATATTATTTAATTTCGAAGAGTTCTTCATCCGAACTGTGTTTAAAGTGCTTAATTGCCAATAAAGATGGAGTTGGAGCCTCGGTGGGGACTAATTTTAACGGCAATTGCTGCTACATTCAAGCCCCCAACGCCCCAACGACGGTGACTGCGCGGTCGGCGTCAACGTCGGCAGAACACACTTTTGTTGTTGCTATTCTCGACATATGATTCAATAAGAAATAAGAATAAGTGCGACTGATCGACCCGCCCGCTCGCGCGCTCTATCGCTATTCCGCTCTTGCAGACTGTTTCAGTTTTTTGTAATTTTTGTGTTCTTGTTGCTGTTGTGGCTGTAAATAATATTTAAAAAAAATCTGTTGTGCATGGAGCGAAAGTCAGGCTAAACCAACACCAGCAACAACTATTAGCCGCTGTCGCTGCCTCTGCTGTTTGTGCTGCTGCCACTTATGAAGCAGAGACACACCGCACACAAATGGAATGGTGGTCGTCCGTTTGTTGTTCCCATTTATGCAAACCATTTGTATACCCTAGAAGAGATGTAGGGAGGGTGCTCTATCATTGACGAAGAGTTTGAAACGTGAAGCGGGAAAGTTCTCGTAGAAGAGGGAAACCTGTAAACACAAAAATCTGCCCAAAAATAGGTGCCATACCAATCTGTTATCATATTTTCGCTCCATTAGGGTATCTATGCTTCGACCCCACGGAGCATGGAATTTCCTATTGTCATTCATTATTTATTTATATCTTTTAACTGTTTTGCAATTATTAACCAATGAATGATTCAGCCAGGCCGCCACATGCCAGATGCCAGTGGGTTAAGTTTCGGTTCGGTGTGCGCCAGCAACAGCAGCCCCATTAAACCATAGATAAATCTCATTTTATCAGCTAAACCCGTTGCTTATCAAAGGTGCACATTATTAAGACTAAAGATATATGTACATATGTACGCAAAGTATTTAAAACATTAGACCAAGTTGCGTCGCAGTTTTTTGAGGGAAGGCCGTAGGGTGCAGGCCAGAAACGAGGCCGCCTAGCGCAATCATAGCTAGATACAGATACATATGTATGTTTGTAGGTGCTGGGTACACCTGTTCCTCTGAGGGTATGGTATGGGATATCTGCTTTGGGTAGCAATTAACGTTAAACAGAGTCTATAATCATTTCTCATAATCGGCTTTTTCTTTACAGGGGGAGGTGCGGAAAACACGCTTCTACGATTTCAATTCACAAATTCTTGACACATTAAACGAACGACCCATATCCATATCCATATTGACAGATATAAATACATATTTATTTAACAAATCAGAGAAACAGAGACGATACTAAACTGAATTCGAATCCCATACGAAAATGGCACATACACACCTGGGACGCGCTGTTAAAAACATTGAGGCGCCGCGTCCGCTCAAGACACAGTCGCGATCGTCGTTGAAGAACAGCTATCTGGTGATTGAGGAGCTGATACAGCTCATAGATAATGTGACAGTGGGTCTGCAGTCGTGCAACACGACCACAGAGTCGATAACGTTGCTGCTGCACAATCTGCGGGTTCATGGGCCGCAGCTGGAGGCGGTGTCCAAGGATACGCTGGATCGGGCATTCGTTGTGTTTCGCAATGCTTCGCAGGACGAACGTCTGAACATAATGACACGCCTTAAGCTGCTCGAACTGATCGAATTACGTGCCAAAAGCTGGGAGGACAATGACACAATTGCCTACTACAAGTCCAAACAGCAGGTCTCCAATGAGGTGGGTCCCCCTTCCCAAAGAGTGTCTCTGATGGTCTCTTATACTTCTTATGAACTCGTTCTTTCAGCTACCCCCGGAGCCATACCAACATGATGCCAGCGGTCAACAAGGCGGCTTTCTCAGCACCTCCCCCACATTCGGTGTCAGCGGCGGCGGCGCCGGAATCAATGTCGGAGCTGCCGCTGCTGCTGCCGCTGTTTTCAACGCAGCCTCGGCAGCTGCCGCGGCCCAGGCAGCCGCCATAGCGGCCGTGGGCTCACCCAATCAGCAGCACATGCTGCTGCACCCAGGTGAAGTCATTCGGAACTCCGGCAAGTTCCTCAAGCCGACGAAGATACCGGGAAAAACCTACTGCAAGGACGAGGTGGTAATCCGCAATGCTGATTCGGGCAAAGGTGAGTGTGTCTCTTGCCACCATTCCCCAAAACTGAACTTAATCTTTGAACAAATGTATTCTAAATCCCATGTCTGCTCAGTCATGGGCATCAAAGGGCGACGCGTCCACATGATTGAGGAGCTAAGCGAAACTATCATATCGTTTCAAAGAGGTAACGCCCAGATCCTTCTCTCTCAGCCTGTTCGCTAGACCTAAGGACTACCCACTGCATTTGCACTTGCCCTTCATTTTGTTTTCTAACTTTCGTTTCTAACTCGCCTGCAACACACTGCCCAAGCGTTTGCCCCATAAAAATTCAGCTTTAATTTCCATTTACATAAAAGTGACCAAGGTGTTTGATGCCATTTTTTCGTTTTGTTCGTTTATAGCACTCACACGCATATTATTGATTAAACAAGATTATTAATACCATCTTTTGTTCAGTCAACCCGGGCGCCAAGGAACGTTTGGTGCAGATCACTGGACCGGCGGAAGAAAAGATTAAGTAAGTCCCAAACTCTTTACTCTTTTCCAATAAGGGACTGCCAATTGACGGAAAATATCAGAAAATATATAGCTATAAATTTAAATGGAATCTTAAGTCGACCAGTGCTACACACCGTCGCGTACAGCTTCTTCAGTGCGATATTTTTTGGCAAGGCTGGCAGCGCGGCTTAAGATAACTAATCTAACTGTAAACATTCCCACATTCCAATCAATTGGCAGCCATTTTGAATTTACTATAGTTAGCGCATGTTATACAAAAAAATGTTTTCGTTTTGCGACAGCTACGCCAAGCAACTGATGGAGGACACCATTCGCCGCAACGCCTCGCCGGTGCGCCTGGAGCCTGCCCCAGCGGCCGGCGGGTCGTGCTCGTCCCTCAACTCTTCGAACTCTGACGATGCCGTGGTGGTTCAGCCGCGCACTCCTGGTGGCAGCAGCCTGGCGAACCGCCTAAGCTTCAATTCGGCCCAGAACTTTATGACTGCTCAGCAGGCTGCGGCTCAACAGATCTCCCAAATCTCGCAGCACCAACAGGCGCATCAGCAGCAGCAGCACCACCACCAGCAGCAGGTTGCCGCCATTCAGGTGGCCGCCGCAGCAGCCCAGGCGCAGGCAACAGCTGCTGCCGGTAAAGTTTTGCGACCCAGCCAACAGCTGCTTATGCACTCATATTCCACAAACGATGCTTCCGTAGGTGAATACAAGTTCACGGTCAACGTGGGCCAGCGTCTGATCAAGATAACCGGCGACTGCTGTGAGCTAGTGCGCGTGAGTGGATCGACCACGTGTCCAATGCAGCTAATCCTGTTTCGTTTTACCTTCGTCCGTGCAGGTGGCCAAGCTCGTCCTGGACGATTACTTCAGCAGCTCGGAGTTCTTGGCTTCCATGGAGGCTGGCGCCGCTTTTGATGGCACCTCTCTTGTTAGCCCCGTGACCACTCCATCCACACCGCTGCCCGGAGCTGGTCCGCCACAGTTTATGCTGCCCTTGGCCGACAGCGGCATCGGACTGAACTATGCTGCCTCCTCGGCCAACAACAACGGCGACGGTGACGATGAAGTGTTTACCGAAACGACCAATGGAGCTTCACCGAATGCTGCCAATCAGAACGGCTTGGCACGCTCACGTCGCAGCCATTTCTCACGCAAGGAGTCTACGCCTGAGAGTAAGGGAGCCCGCGAGAAGCTCGACGTGGAGGAGCGTCCACTGAAGACAAATGCATGTAAGATATGATAAAGTTTGATTTAAATGTTTAAATAATTCTTATTTTAATAATTCTTTTCTCTGGCAGCACGCGTCTCTTACGATATTGAACACTTGATTTACTACTCGCAAAGTCCGCATGCCTGGGCCCTGCCCAACGATTGGGAGAAGATGTTGGAGACATCGCCGTCGATTGTGCGCAACAAGGTAATTCATTCACCCGATGTGCAATTGAAATGCATCCGTCGTCCCTCGTCGAGCCTCGATTCCATCACCAATGCACCCAAATCATTCGCATTAACAACGGCTAGCACAGCCATTTATCCCGAAGGCGATGCGCAGGTCGCAGTCGCCGTCGCAAACGCAACCACAGAAAGCTCCAGTGATTCAAGCACTTTAACCGAAACTAACAAGCAATCTAGAGTAAGTCCCCAAGAGCGTGAGCTCCGTCGCAATCCAAAACCATCGGCAGAGTCCGATAGGAATCTGTACAACAGGCAATTGCAAATTATAACCAGCACAATGGGTGCAAAGACACAAGCAAAGTGTCGCCAGCAGCCGCAGCCGCTTTTGCCGCCTTTGCATTCAAATCATTCTCTGTCGCAGGCAAAAGCCATATTCCAACGCTATACAGAGGATGATGAGTGCCTAATGGCCTGGTTCGATGATCACTCGCATCCAGAGCTGAACAATAATCGTACTTTTGTTTAAATGTTCATTCATTCATTACGTATCAGAAATACGTATTCGTTTGATCTTACACAGTACATCATTCCTCTTTGATGATCTAGTCTTGGAATCTGCAATTGATTGATCATTTGCAACAGATAACAATCCAATCTCTCTATCGAATCGAATCGAATAGAATTAATAAGATTTTCACGCAATCTCAAGCCCATGTAGTTCTAGATATAACGAAACCAAAACAAACCAATTGAAAAGCGAAACTTTTTGCTAGTCATAGACGTAGTAGTAACCACATACCCATACAAACATACGTTGCAATGAAAATTAAATTTATAAAATGTAACTAAGGGAAGAATCTGTGTTTTGGCTGTGAAACAGATTTAGTTTTTCGCTAGAGTTTAGAATGAGGATTGCGGTCTAAACCGTTCCACCCACACACACATAAAATTAACAAGAAACACCACACACAAACGCACATTTAAGCGCATTTTTACATAACATAAACTGTAATTAACATTTTAATAAGACTTATAACAAAGTATAATCCAAGCAATGATTGGGCTGCGAATGTAACAAAAGCTATATTTAAGCGTTTTTTTCCCCCACTCCAAAAGCATACAATTTATACGTGCATATATACATACCTATACATATATTTCAAATAAAATAAAGACTTAAAAAGTCGAAAGTAAAGCTTGGTTGGGTTTTAAATCACAACACAACACACCACACAAAAGACACATTGTAAATCGCTTCAAAAAAAAAACACGCCCGCTTGTAATGGCTATTAATCTGACACACTAATCTGTTCCATATGTAAATGTACATTAGTTATGTCCGTCCAAGGTAAGCTTTAGCTGGAACGTTAGTCTTAAGAGTCCTTTAAAAAAAAACCTAATCGAATTTCTTTGTGTTCGCAAACAGGATCTACAGGATGAGAGTCAGCGCTTTGATGGGGACAAATATCTGGTTAGCATCAAGACTGACGCCACAAGAGATATTGCAGCAGCCGACGATGCCGAGATTCTGGATGAATAGACCTAGACCCAGTCCCAGTACCAGCCCCTCTTCTCTGCAGAATCGGGCCCACCCAACTGACAATATAATATATATAGATAATGTCCTTTCGGACGGAGCTAGACTATAATCTTTCAATGCTTTTAGCTCTAGCGGCTAACAAAACTAATCAACAAAACAAAACGACCAAAAAAACCAAAAAACTTTTCAACAACAAACAACAAAAAATGAAAAAGCAAACTCAGAAGAAGAAGATACTAAACACACACCCACTAACCCATAGAATCTAGGAACGACAAGCAATCAAAACTTTCAACATACGAGTAGCTAGAAAATTTAACGAAGCTCTTAGATAAGTTCCAACGAAGAGACGTGAATAAGGAGTACGGGGGTTGGTGTTAGTTCCAACGAGTTCCCCCAATTATAATTCTACTAATTCACAAAATGCAGCTAAACTGAAAACGTATGAGCGGTCTCGAAGCGAAATAAAAGGGGAATGGAATGCATTTTTAGTAACTCAATAGAGAATGACGCCACACCACACATATTATTTTAATTTGAAATTGAATCGTTTCGTTTCTCATTTCCCCCAAGCTTTGTTTTAATCCATCCTTGAACAAAATTCTCAAAACAACAAAGGAAAATGTATTAACTCATCTACATACGAGTATGTGTTTATTACTATTATTACTATTGTTTTCTCTAGTCTGTCATAGAGATTTTTTTGAAACATATTTTTATTTGATGTATCTTTCAATTAAAGTTTTGACTTCATTTAAACTCATTTGAAACGAACGAAAGATTGAAAGAAAAAAGCCAAAATTGTTTGAATTTCTGCATTATGCTTTAGTTAATTTATTTTATTTATTTTGTACAAATACAAAAACATATTCTTCAAGAAAATAAAATGAAATAATGATCAAAGACGCAGCGTTTGTTCTGTTCTTCATCTCAATCCAAAAATTGTATTTATATTTTTTTCTGTTTTTTCTTTTTATTATTTATTATTGTGTCTGCCCAGATAAAAAATTGACTGCATTTAATTTTGCTTTTTTCGGTGAATGTACATTTACATTAATTTATTTTAAAACAAAACAATAATCCACAATTATAACAATAATTTCTGCATATACTGATATGTATAATAGTATTTGGATATTGGCTAGGAGTTGAACGGAACGAATACGAATACGATAACGACCAAGGATCCACGACATTTGTGCGGTTAGCAGAATGTGCTCCAACGTTGCATAACAAGTCAAGTACTATAGAGAGATGGCGGTAACATCACAATTGGGTTATTTGTTCTTATGCGAGTATAGTTAGTATAGTAGTACATTTTTAGTGGCCCAAAAGAGGCCGTCGATCCACAGTTGCGCGTCGGATTGAGCTTTTGGTTTTGGTACGAAGAGTAAATACATTTAGAAAGAGAATGGCAATTAATCAGTGATGCGACATCAGAGACATACATATACAATAGAGATAAAGACACCAATACAACGTCAAGACATCAATTAATCAATCAATAGCATGCTCAGTACATCAAACATCAATCAACTCGACTCAATATTCACGTACATCGATGTGTGGTACGTGGCCCGCTGTGCTGGCGACATATTCAAATTGCCCTGATGTTTGCGATTGTAGGCCCAGATCGCACAGGTTGCCATCAGAGAAACTGCAATTATTAATTAAATGGGAAATGATTTACAAAAATGCAAGGCAACACCTTCATCTCCTTACTCAGCAAGAACAACATGAAGAAGAGCTGCAGCCAGAAGTGGCTGCCACCACTACTATCCACAATGATGCCAGCCACAATGGTCACTACAGCCAGGCCCAAATTCTGTACAGACTGGCAGCTGTAAAGAAATAACTCCAAATCTGACAATGCCAACAAATCAATTGATTGGATTCACTTACAAGCCATATGCTGTGCCTAACTGATACTCGGGAACAATCAGGGAAACCAACGGCCAAAGACTGGCAGCCAACATGGAATAGGAGAGCCCCATAATGCTCATGCCAATGTACGGGTCCAGGTGGGTGAATGTCAGCAGAGCATGAGCCACAAACGTGGAGATGGTGGCACAGAACACCCAGGTTACATTGCGCCCCACCTTATCGATGATGAATCCAAACAATGGCGAGGCAATAGCCGAGATCAGGTAGACAATCGAGTTGACAGTGTTCGCCTCGTCTGGCGTCATGTGGAAGTTGTTCACGAAGAAGGCCTGTCCCAAGGCAACGAAGGGGAAGATGGCCACATAGTAGGCCACGCACACCACCGATACCATCCAGAAATCCATCTTGAAGGTGACTATGTCGCTCAGCTTGGCAATCTCTCCACCCGGATTGTTATTACGCTTCAGAATGCGCTCGGCCCGTTTGTCCATCCAACCTAGATGGGAAGAGAGATACTGATGAGAGGGTACAACAGGTAAATTAATGCAGGACCTACCCAGAATCAGAGTGCAAATCAAAGACATGACACAGGTGGTGGAGGCCAGAAACAGGGCCACACCCAGTCCAGTGTAGCCAGCGTACGATTTTGAGACATAGCCATACAGGGGCTGCATTATCCAAAAATTTACGGTGCTGCCGAAGCGGGCCACCGACAGTTGCAGGCCAAAGACCATATTTAATTCCTTGCCTTTGAACCACAGCACCGCATAGCTGTTCTGGGCCACAGCCAGCGACTCTGCTCCAATGCCGAACACAAAGCGACCAATGATCATCAACCAAAAATGACCCAGGACACCGCCAGTGGCGAATATCAACTGCCCGACGAGCACAATCAGCATATAGATGATGGTGCCCAGACGGATGCCAAAGACGCGATCGATCAGGAAACCGCCCACGAAGCAGAGCACAATGTTCGGCCACGAGTAGATAGAATAGATCAGCGTGAATTCGGTCGAGTTGAGGTCCAGCTCCTTTTGGAAAACATCCTGCAGAGCCCCGGGGTTATCGTAGCAAAAGTAGGAACCTAAAAGGAGTTTGCATTAGCAAAAGCATCATCAATATGCAACGTCATCTCAACGTGACTCACCAAATCCCAGGAGGCACATAAACACCAGTGCGAGAAAACGGTGCGGCGTGCTGGAGGGATCACAGCATCCCGTATCCTCCTTGGGCGGCGACAGCACCGTGTCGCGGATGCTCCGCCTCCGCACCACAGGCCTGGCCTCATCCTCACCGCTGCTGCTGCTATTCGACGTGTCCACAATTCGTTGACGTTCTTCGCGTGTCATCGTTTTTTTCTAGGCAACGGAAATTGCAGGTGCGCTTGGGGGAATGGGGGATGGAGAATGGTAATTGCTTTTGACTGTTCTTCCTGTCAATGCGGTTTGACGATGGGGGTGATGGGTTGCTCGATTGGTTGGTTGCTTTTGTGGGCGGTGGGCTGGGGGCTGGGCTGCGGCCCTACTGTTGCTGCTTATCACTAGACCGCACCATGACTTTGTTGTTGTGTATTGATTATTCCCACAGATGGACGAGAGCTGTCTCGGAGGGGGAGTGCCAGGCGTGGGCGGTTATAAAGGATAATCTGCAATAAAAGCGACATGAAAATTGTTGCATCTTTCCTTGGAAATTTTCCAAGCATACACACACACACACCGATACAAAAGAGCCCCACGCAGGTAGATCTGTTTAAACACGGCAGATCTTGTTTTCCGTTTGTTGACGTTAACGGTAAATGGCAATCAATTAAGCTCGCACCGTATGTTGCGGCCTTAAATTTGAGCTTTGACACCAGGGTTTAAGGTTTTATTACTTTATTTGCGTATTGAAAACAAGCTAACTGTTTGTCTATGCATATACGGACAGGTACACACCACTCACAAACACACCCACACACAACAGGGTACCTATATGTAAACAATATTTGCAGCCAGGAAAAGCGGCTAATACTCAAATACCCCGTTATCGCAGCGAACTAGGAACGAACGTCATACTAATTAATCACGTCCCCCCAGCCTTATTATTCGTTAAGTGACAGGCGCGTTACTCTGCTTATTCAAAAACTCACTCCAAACGTAGCGAGCTGCTTCGTTACTTATTACTTAGTCCAATATACAACAAAATAAAACATATGTTATGCATACAGGTAGAAATTCAACAAGTAGAACAAAAACTCACGGTATTTCGGCGAAAGCGCTGTTCTGAATGATTTAAATTGAAAATAAATGAAATTGACTTATCGATAAGATATACCGCAATATACCGTCTCACTTCAAAAGAATACCGTAAATATACTGACGAATTCTAGTTCTGTTATACATATTCCACGTTTTTGATATTCCATCGAATATTACTAGCTATCTAGATTTCTCAGCCCTGCCAACATAGTTTTATCCAATCAATGAACCTATTTTCTAATTGACCGGCTTATTTTAAGTTGTTGCTTTTATTGGATTTCTTCACCCTTTGTTCGTAAATATACCTTTGACAATTTAATTTAATAGATTAAATTGATCAAATATACCATTATATACCGATACACCGTCAGCTATTTTGACCTTAAAAAATACCGAAAAGTATTAAAAATACCGTAAAAGGTCTCTCTGCAAACGACTATATAATAAATAAATATATCGATGAATATTTTTAGTTCATGCATAGGACTAGATTTAAAAGTATCGTTACTTTTGTGCGAGCATCGAGCATCTCAAGCTTGTACTGCTTAAATTGGAATTTCATGTAGTTGAGCTTGATGCAGACAACGTAGGTGCGGTGGTTTAACATGCGATAAATTCGCATCCAAGCAGTCGCACTGTCGCGTGGTTAAGGATGCTGCTGCTGTTATTTTGTTGTATCAGTTTGGACCTAACCCCCAGGCCATTTCTTCAGTCTGCACTATCGGCACAGAGGGGTCGAGAGGGGAGAGCCACTACTTTGATAAAATCTAGGAGGCAAGGCCCAGACAGAGCCAGAATCTTATTGCTGCCAGTCATGACCCTATGTGTCCTATGACTTGTAATTCTTTCCATTTTTGTCTCAATTTCAAATTTAAATTGTTCTTTTATTATTTGGAGTAAGATTTATTTATCTATGGACAATTGTACAGCCTTTTACAATTCGAAACCGATATTATATATTAAAACACACGTACATATGCTTTCAAAATTATAAAAAAGCCACTTTATAAAGATATATACTTTTACCGCTTAACAAATTTTTACGAATATAGCCCCAGAGCCACATACGAGTTCACCTTAGGACTGAATTGGGCAAAATATTGAGTTGGTTTGAATTTGTGGAGACAACATATATTCGGAGCTCGAAAAAATTAAAATTGAATAAAAAATTCGGAATTTAATACAAGTGAAAAAGTGAAGTTCAAATTCAAAAAGACAGCGTTTCCATTTTATTTATATATTTTCGTTAATTATTCTTCAATAATTTATTTTTAAAGGTAAGTTAAAGAACAGAAACATAGGCCAAACTGCAAATTCCTTCCAAAAAACCGCAAGCTCTTGTCGATGAATGGCGTTTAAAAAAAAAGCCAGCAACGGATCCGGCGGGCAAATCACAAAAAATCAAAGGAAGAAAACAAGAAATTAGGAAAGACCCGAGGATGGATTGAAGGCTGCTATGAAGTGTGAAAAATCTTGCCCAAACTTGTGATAGACTTGCAAGTGAAGTATGCTCTTGTCGGGAGTTAATCTAAAAATTGCACCCAAGTGTGGCATGGGAATAATGGCATGAAGAAATTCTTTTGTGTGGATAGAGTATCGAGAAGGGATTGTCAGCGGAAGCGCATGCGGCGCTCGGATCTCGAGTACCGGCAGTAGCGATTAACCAAGACTAACTCCACTTCATTGGTAAAACAAAAAGGTTAAATTAAAGTGATGGAGCGTAAGAAAAAAATCGACGAGGAGCTCAGCAGGTCGATATTGCCAGAGCCATGGCCAGCCAGAGACCAATGAGGTTGTATTGCTTGGCCTGGAGCAGCAATCCACCGAAGAAATTGGTAACTATAAGCTGTCCACGATCCGATTCGATTCGATTTGGCTGACTAACATTTGTGTGCGTGTGGTCTCTCCCTCCTCCTTTAGCCTCTTCTGTAAGGGTTTTGGAGATCCCCTGGACTAGTCGCAGGCACAGGCGCAGGAGATTTCCCCACAGGTCATCAGAAAGAAAGTCCCATGTACGAGAATTTTGAATACGAGTACGAGTAGATATTATTTATAAACATTAGCAGATAGTCCGATATAAACAATTCTTTCATTTCGTTTTGTTAAATGCAAAAAAATTCCTCAGAGATATACTTAGTATATTATCCAATCCAATTGGATTCTTCACGGACTCTAAGCGGGCCCCTCGCACAGTGACGGCGCAGGAGCTGTTTCGCTGATTAACTGGGGAGACTCGAGGATGCAGTAGGGAGTTAATTTTAGCGGATCGGTGGGAATTTTTACAGCCACACAGCGATGCTATGAAAAAACAGAACATACAACAGCACGCAGGACAACAGCGAGGACAGGGCGGCAATCAACAACGCCAAGGAGGCTCCCAGCTCTATAGTTCTCGTCAGCCGCAAGTCGAACTCCGGCAATGGCCAGGAGCTCAATACAATAAATACAATAAATATAAAATACAGCTACAAGGAGGCTCAAAGAGAAATTAGGAACTTTTTAGTATACAAATGGAATGAGGACTACAGGATGAAGTGTATGCCTCATAGACATATTTCCAGACATACCCAGTAAACGCTGGCATTATTCTCTCAAATGGAATGCTAAAAGCATCAAGACCATTAACAGAATTATGACAGGACACACATACGACAAAGTCTTCCTACACAGAATCAAAGCAATTGACTCAAATATCTGCGAAACGTGCAATGTAACTGAATACGCCGAACACCTGATCTTCGATTGCCAAAGATTTGCCGGGCTCAAAAGGAAATGCAAAATCTTTAAATATTATAACAATTTACATCCATTATTAATCAAAAAAGAGTCGCTACATCTCAGAGAGCTGGCAATCTTCATCAAAACTGCTGACTTAAACTTTTGACCCCTTTTTTCTTCATCATGTTATAAAGTAAATTCAGTTTATATTCTAAAACAGTTAATTAACTTTAAAACCTTTAATTTAAAACCAAAAAAAAAAAAAAAAAAAAAATATATATACAATAGTTGGAAAATTGAGGATATACACTATAGATATTATGACATTAATTTTTTAAGTACGAATTTATTTTAAAGATAGGCCGGCGGCGCTGAGGCCGCAAACCTCCGCAACCCCGAGAAGCGGTGTGGTAAACAGAAGTAAGATGTATAAAAATTTGTTAGTTCGAGTATGGCTGCTATGCATGGTATTAATGTTTAAAGCGTGGCGGTTGTGAAAAACTGCGACGGCGGCGGCGTGGCAGCCCCATATTTATAGGCGACGGCGCTCTGCCTCTGTCGGCAGCGCTGCTCTCAGTTTACATATTAGAGACGGCACCAGTGCTGCCGACTACGCTCTTTTCCCGCAGATGTGGCTTTTTTTGATGACCAAGCGGGGGAAATTTCTATAAATATCGTAGGAATGCGAATCACAAGTTAGCCCTTCAGAGCTGGATGAGTTAATGAAAATTCTATAAAATACATAATAATTATCACTTTATCACAAAATTCTTAACACCGTTATTTACAGTTTTTTTTATTATTAGATTGAGATTGATTGAGATTGAATTTTCAGCTTTTTTTGTTGATTGTTTAAAGCTAGAAACGGTTTTTTTTTTTAATAAAAAGCGGGCAGCACTGGTTGGCACGTAGCACAGCACTCACATATTTTAGTGCGTTTGTGTGCGCAGTCACACGAAGCCAAAACGTATCTTGCTCTACACTGAAAAAATTTAATTCATATAAAGGAAGATGCTTTGCGCCAAACAAAATAAAAAACAAAATATTCTTAGGAAACATTAGAATATTATTTCTCTCCCATATATAAGAAGAAATTTAGCGTTAAATTCCGGTAATTTCGAAGCACGCTCAACCCCTAAAAGTTCCTTGTGCCTCTCAAAAAAACCAATGCGCAGCGAGTTGAAATATGTTGGCTAATCAAGCATTGCGCACCGCCATCCATTTTTTCAAAAAAGGAAAAACGATCATCCCACATATGTTGAACCTTTTTTTTAGTGTAAAATTTTATTTTCGCAGAAAAAATCACTACTGACTGCTCTGCAGCACTGTTCGTGTATATATACATATACATATGCAAATAAGCAGCGGCAGCGCCGCCATTTGCGAAAATGAGTTCGAAGCATATGTTAGTGTACGAATGTGTGTGTACGAATAGTGTATGTATCGAAAGAAGGGGATGGCACGTTGACCAATACCAATGCAACGTAACAATGAAATAAATGGGTGCAACCTCCCTATCATCACTGAGTATTTCGTCGGGTGCTTTTACGTAGTGCATCTCGAAGGCGAGCTGCTGCTTCTCGCACATGATCACGATGTGATGGTGCTGGATTGTACTTGTAGCGAGTCAGCCCAACCAGAATTCCCAAAAAACGGCTAAAGGCGGCGCTTAGCTGGTCGGGCTGATGCTGTTTTTGTGGCTGGCCTTGGGAGGTTGGCGGTAGCTCCACCTCTGGATGGAACACAAGCACAGACGGTTGTACCGCCCTTAGTGCTAGTACTCGGGATCCAAATACCGCCGGCGCTTCCGCTGACAATCCCGAAGCGACATCTGCACTCATTATACAACAAAGGAGTGCTAACTTCAGAAACTTCCTTTGCAGTCTCACGATACGTACAATTTGAACAACAAACGTGCGAGCGAACAAGGAATAAGTTAAGTAATAAGTAATAAGTTAGCCTCGTATGTGGGTCCCTCAATTTTGATGAACTGCGCTAACAAAGTCGAACATGAAGTCGGCTTTTGGCAAATTCAAATGCTCGATAAAAAGAAATTTGGAATCAATGAGACGCCTAGGTCAAGTATATCCGTCTGCTTTAGGAGCTGATGGGCATCTAATAGATGCCATCTATTGAAAATTACATAAATATGTAGTTAATATGTAGCAACTATGTAGTTAGCGCGTAGTTACCATGTAAGGAAATTAATTTAGTCGACATTTTTGTTGACCGGTTTTGCTTAAACCTTATTTCATAAACAAACCAATAAAGATGAGAACTTAAAGATAACCAGTCTTGTAGGAAATTGATATTATAATCGGATAAAATGATCAGTTTAGACCCTCAGGTCTTAGGTAGCTAGTTATATTCCACGGAATATCCAAAACGAGTAATGTGATGCAACTTGAATACAAATAGTTCGTCAGTATATTTGCGGTATGTTTTGAAATTTGTGACGTATATTTTATCAATAAGTCCGCGGTCACACTGCTTATCAGCCTGTTTACACCATGCAAAACAACAAATACAGTTAATATTAAATTCAGCACAAAGTTCAATATATGTAAAATCTACGCGAAAAATTTGATCACCCGCAAAGACAGCGATAAGTATGTAAGCGATGCTACTTCACATGTAAATCGCTCACGCTCTCAGTTTGCCTGGAAATCGAGTGGCATCTGGCGCGGTGTAAACGAAAAAATTCAGTTCTTAGGAAATTATGTCGTCGTCTTCGCACAACACAAACATATTTTATTCCCAGCATTTCGACACAACTAGAGTAGCCTAACATTTCATATGCTTGCATGTATATTTCGTAATGTGTACAAAAGGAACTAGTGATTTGTAGACCGATCCACAGACACACGACGCCCGTGAGATGGCTGCGATAAAGGTAAGGGACGGGGCCTCTCCGCCTTCATAATACATGATTTGATTTAAATGAGTTGTGTTTTTCACCACTTGCAGAACATCGCATATGGCATACTGTACGGGCTGTGGGACAGCATACGTGGCATGACCCTTGTCCTCCACATCGACAACGAGGTGAATCGCCAAGATGCCGAGCAGGACATTCGACTATTACGCAGAACGGATAAAGATCGCTACGAGCGGGCGCGAAGATCGCCATCGCCTGTGCCCAGCTCTGCGGCTGCCATGATTCGTGAGGAGTACGCCAAACGGGCCGAGGAGAACTCCGATGAGCGGAGTCTGCAGAAGATTCTAAACCAGAAACCTACCGACGAGAAGGAGAAACAGCCTCAGGGGTACGTGACACAAAGACAGCACATCTGCTGCATGCTCAGCATGACTAATTTATTTATTGCGCACTTGCGTTGCCTCCCCCTACCCTAAACAGCGAGAAGAAGATCGCCAAGAAGCTCTTCAAATGCTGCATGCTCAACGGTGGCTTCACCTGGATGAGCATCGTACTCTTCGAGTCGGCTTTGCTGCCCACGCTGAAGTTCTGCCTGACCATCTTCTATGGCGCCCAGTCGGAGACCCTGCCCGTAGTGTGGGCCTGGCTGCATCCGATACTCTCGCTGCTCTTTGGAATGATGTGGGTTCTGCCCATCTTTATGCTGTCGAAGATCGTCAGCTCGCTGTGGTTCGCGGACATTGCTAATGCGGCGTATCGGGTGAGGAAGGGTCGACGGCAGCTGATACCGGGCATCAGCAAACTGGTGGCCGATTTCCTCTTTAGCATGGTCGTGCAGATGCTATTCCTGGTGCAGAGTATGCTGGTGAATCTGGTGCCGGTGAAGTATGTCGGTTCTTCGCTCTGCTTTGTGCACCTCTGCCTGCTGTACTCGCTGTATTCGTTCGAGTACAAGTGGTTCAACATGGGATGGGAGCTGCACCGACGTCTCACCTACATAGAGAAGAACTGGCCCTACTTTTTCGGCTTCGGCATACCGCTGACAGTGCTCACAAATCTGTCCAGTTCGGTGATTGTGAGCAGCTGCATCTTCTCCATATTTTTCCCACTATTCATACTCAGCGGCAACGAGGCCCAGCCCATGGTCGACACCACGTAAGTGTGACAGATTGTGCGGTAATAGATTTTGTCTAAAAATAAACTCTGCCCTCTTCTAGTGAGATCTCGCTGCGTCTCTTCTCGCCGGTCGTTTTCATATCAAACCTCTGCTTCGGCGGCAATCCGTGGAGCAAGGCCAACCGGCTCAGTGCCATGCAGCGTCAGCAGTACGAGCTGCAACAGCGTCAGCGCCTGCTTCAGCGGGAAGAGCAGCTTCTCAAGCAGCGGAAGCAGCAGTACATGGAACAGCAGCGCATGCAAATGCGTCGCGAACGGTCCCACTCGCGATCGCAGACACCGCAATCGGCACCGGGCACTGGGCCACCATATAGATACGCCCAGGCGCCGGTGTTTGATGCCGCCCGAGTACGGGACTCTTCCGCATCGTCCACGCACAGCTCCACATCGCCGAGCATCAGCAGCTACCGGCCGCCGCCGTACTATGGCAGTTCGCTGCGCGGCGCCACACCACTGGTGCCCACACCCGTGCCTGGTGCACCCCAAGCACCGCTTACCCCGCCCGTCATACGACAGGAGTCGGGACCAGATGACTGGAACTTGTGAGATTTATGCATATACACTCTCTAGGCTTATAGGCTCTATTATACACATACAAATAGTAGATATATTATTAATTGTATCGATGTGCGTACGCGTTGTCTTTGTATCTACCCATTGTGAACTTTCGTGTAATAAGTGTAATAACTAATAATAATAATAAGCGGAACTAAAACTATGTATGTCTACGAATAATGACAATGTTCGCTAGTCGACGCCGCGTCCCAACCCTCGACTTAGGCACTGGACAACGGACATCACTATACAGCAGCTACATATATCTTCTATATGCGTTTCGCTCCAACTGCTGCATAATTCTTAAGAGTTTTATTTTTAGGTCGCGTTTTCGCTTTCATTATTTCTTGTAGGGTGCCCTCTACAATTACAACTTACTTTCGTTAATATGTAATTATGTATCAAAAATAAAAACAAAAACATTTTGTACTTTCGTCAATTGCGGCGTTTCTGTGTTTAATTTTTCAGTGTGGAGAGTGCAGGGCAGGACGTTATCTTGGTTTGGTTATACTTGATAAATACTTAGAATGAGTAAGGGCTAATTAGGTACTGGGAAATTGATCAATTTATAATTGAAAGCACTCAATATTCATAGTTCGGATACAGTTAAATGGTTCTTTACACTCAAAGATATTCGAATCGTCTAATCTAATCTAATTCCTAAAGAAAGCGTTTCCGTTACCATAAAGTTTATATATTCCTGATCAGCGTCAAGAGACGAGTCGCCTAGTTTTCAGAGAATATATAACAATTTCTCGTGACTGACCCCCTGCTCGCTCTCTTACTCGTATAGTGGCGTCAAGTCCCTTGGCGGAGCGAACGAGAAGAGGGAAGAGGGCGAAAGAGAGAGAAGTGTGTGATATGGGAAAAGCTAGATACTTTCTTTCTCCTTTAGTATCTATATAAATAATAATAAAGATTCCAAATTTAATTCCAATTACTTTTGTCGGGAAAATTGCCCAATAATCATTTCATGTTTATGTGACAATATAACAAGCTATTCAATACCTCATAATAACTCTAACATGCCAGTTCGTCTCCTCAAAACACCAATACCCGCCTAATTATCGCTTGAGTTCAGGCACGAACAGTGTTCTAGTCCCAGAATGTGTGTGGGAAGGTTGGATTGGGTGGTCGGGTCGTATAGGGTTGGAGGTTGGGGCTATTATCCAGTAAATTGATTATCACCAAGGTTACACACATGTCCACACATTGTCCTCGTTGAAAGTGAAATTGTCAGTGGCACTGGTTGTGGTTGTGGTTCTGGTATGGTATCCTTTCCGACAGGATATTCCGACTCAGTGGAAATTTGTTCTTCGTGGCGTACGGTCTATTGCTGATTGCTGAGATCTCGGCCCGCGTCCGCCCTATGTGCCGATACCATGTTGGATGTTTGCTTAAAGTCTTTCAAATATTTATGGCTTCTCGTATTGTTGACCCTACTAAGCGGTTGGAATCGGGAAACATTGGCCCAGACGACTCAAAATATTAATGTTTGTAAGTGCTAAAGCCATCGATTTATACATTTACATATAGGATATAGAAAATATATATATATACAATAAGGGAATTGTGAAATACTTGAATTTATTTCCTTTTGCGATCTAATTATACTCCCATAAAAGTATGTTGTAGAGTGTAAAATCTGAAGCAGATCGTATGGGAAAGTTAGGAAAATAATATATATTAAGCGCGAGAACGGGGGCAAGTAAACCGTTTCTTAGCCACGTAATGTTTTTGTCCTCTTTCATGCCACACTACACTACCCAACTCTTCCAATCCAATCCAATATTGGGGTGATAGTCTTCATCAATGAGGTGGACAACGAGCCGGCGTCAAAGGCAGTGGATGTGGTGCTTACGTATTTGAAGAAAAACATCCGCTATGGCTTGTCCGTGCAAATTGAATCGATTGAGGCCAATAAAACGGATGCCAAGGTGCTGCTGGAAGCAAGTGAGTGAAATGTGAGGAGAAATTATCTCCGAATCATTCATGATCATCTTTCGGTCATTATTTCACTTTAAAGTTTGCAACAAGTATGCCGATAGTATTGAGAAGAAAATGATGCCACATCTGGTCCTGGACACTACCAAGTCGGGCGTGGCCTCGGAGACGGTGAAGAGTTTCACCCAGGCCTTGGGTCTCCCCACCATCAGTGCCTCGTACGGTCAGGAGGGGGATCTACGGCAGTGGCGGGATCTGGATGAAAGCAAGCAAAAGTATCTGCTACAGGTGATGCCCCCGGGCGACATTATACCCGAGGTCATCCGGAGCATTGTGCGGCGTCTCAACATCACCAATGGTATGCCACTCCTTGCAGAATTAACCCCTGAATGTATCAGTATCTTTATCTTGCCCCCAGCGGCCATCCTATATGACGAAACCTTTGTGATGGACCACAAGTATAAGTCCCTCCTGCAGAACATTCAGACACGTCATGTGATCACAGCCATTGCCATGGAGGGCAAGCGGGAGCGCGAGGAGCAGATCGAGAAGCTGCGCAATCTGGACATCAACAACTTCTTCATTCTGGGCAACCTTCAGTCCATACGCATGGTACTCGAGTCCGTGAAGCCCGCCTACTTTGAGCGAAATTTCGCCTGGCACGCCATTACCCAAAACGAGGGTGAAGTTAGCAGTCAGCGCGACAATGCCACGATCATGTTTCTCAAGCCCATGGCATATACGCAATTCCGGGATCGCCTGGGCCTCCTGCGCACCACCTACAACCTGAACGAGGAGCCCCAACTGGCCTCGGCATTCTACTTTGATTTGGCTCTGCGCAGCTTCCTAACCATCAAGTAAGTGGCCAAAACGGTATCAGCACTTTAACTATTTTCAATTATGGGTAGAGAGAGCTAAGGGAGCTAGTTCAATTCTGTAGGACCCAAAGGAGATACATGCAGGACACTATATGAGGAACAAACAATTTATGGGATGGAGCGATAATAATTGCCATTGAACTTTACTTAATTTCCTATAACAGTATTAGTATTTATATATGCAACCGTATAGGAAACACCTTTTTAGATAGATTAGTAGATAAATCCCATTCGCGAATACCTGATGAGTATGATTATTATTCTTTTTCCTTAGAGAAATGCTTCAATCGGGTGCCTGGCCCAAGGATATGGAGTATCTGAACTGTGACGACTTCCAAGGCGGCAACACACCCCAGCGGAACCTCGATCTCCGGGAATACTTCACCAAGGTGGGTGTCTGTCTGCTGTGTTTAGGTGGTAAGCTGGCAATTATGGTTGATTACAAAAAACACATCCCGTCCGTAGATAAGCGAACCCACGTCGTATGGCACTTTCGAGCTGGTCACGCAACCGAAGCAACCGTTCAATGGCTTCAGCTATATGAAGTTCGAAATGGATATAAATGTGCTCCAAATTCGTGGCGGCAGTTCAGTGAACAGCAAATCGATTGGCACGTGGACAGCTGGCCTGGACACCCCCCTCACCGTCAAGGATGAGGAGCAGATGAAGAATCTGACAGCGGATACGGTCTATCGTATATACACTGTTGTGGTAGGTGCAATACTGTCTGCTACCCTAGTATTCGGAGGTATACCTGCTATATATTTTCTGTTCTTTCGTTCCTCAGCAACCACCCTTTATCATGCGCGACGAGACCGCTCCGAAGGGCTACAAGGGCTACTGCATCGATCTGATCAACGAGATCGCCGCAATTGTACACTTTGACTACACCATCCAGGAGGTAGAGGACGGAAAATTCGGTAACATGGATGAGAAGGGCGAGTGGAATGGTATCGTCAAGAAGCTGATCGATAAGCAGGCGGACATCGGCCTGGGCAGCATGTCGGTGATGGCCGAACGAGAGATAGTCATTGACTTTACGGTGCCCTACTACGATCTGGTGGGCATCACCATCATGATGCAGCGTCCCAGCTCCCCCAGTTCGCTATTCAAGTTCCTCACCGTGCTGGAAACGAACGTGTGGCTGTGCATCCTGGCAGCCTACTTCTTCACCAGCTTTCTCATGTGGGTCTTTGACCGGTGGAGTCCTTACAGCTACCAGAACAACCGGGAGAAGTACAAGGATGATGAAGAGAAGCGCGAATTCAATCTGAAGGAGTGCCTCTGGTTCTGCATGACCTCGCTGACCCCCCAGGGCGGTGGGGAGGCTCCCAAGAATCTGTCCGGACGTCTTGTGGCTGCCACTTGGTGGCTTTTTGGGTGCGTTTCGTCTACCCTCTCATCCCTTTCATTTAATCATATTTCACCAATCCCCCTAGTTTTATCATAATTGCTTCGTACACGGCCAACTTGGCTGCCTTTCTGACTGTCTCCCGTTTGGACACGCCCGTCGAAAGCCTGGATGATCTGGCCAAGCAATACAAGATACTATATGCCCCGCTCAATGGCTCCTCGGCCATGACGTACTTCGAGCGTATGGCCAACATTGAGCAGATGTTTTATGAGATCTGGAAGGATCTATCACTAAACGATTCATTGACTCCGCTAGAGCGATCTAAGCTGGCCGTGTGGGATTACCCGGTCAGCGACAAGTACACCAAGATGTGGCAGGCCATGCAGGAGGCAGCACTACCGGCTACACTCGACGAGGCTGTGGCGCGGGTCCGAAACTCAACCGCGGCCACGGGATTTGCTTTTCTGGGAGACGCCACCGATATACGGTACCTGCAGTTGACCAACTGCGATCTTCAGGTGGTGGGCGAGGAGTTCTCCCGAAAGCCCTATGCCATAGCCGTTCAGCAAGGCTCCCATCTGAAGGATCAATTCAATAATGCGTGAGTTAATGCGTAGTACACATAAGAGAATGCATTTGTTCGACTGATACGATTTTCTTACAGCATTCTAACGCTGCTCAACAAACGACAACTGGAGAAACTCAAGGAAAAGTGGTGGAAGAATGACGAGGCGCAGGCTAAGTGCGACAAGCCAGAGGATCAGTCAGATGGTATCTCCATACAAAATATAGGCGGTGTGTTCATTGTCATCTTTGTGGGTATTGGAATGGCCTGCATCACACTCGTCTTTGAGTACTGGTGGTATCGATACCGCAAGAATCCGCGCATCATCGACGTGGCCGAGGCCTCCAATTCAGATCGTTCGAATGTCAAAGACGTTACTGGCAAGCTGGCCGATGGCGTAATTTTGGGCAATTCGGGGGAAAAGTTTGAAAAGTCGAATGCTGCACTGCGTCCACGTTTCAATCAGTATCCGGCCACATTCAAGCCACGTTTCTAGGAGAACTCTATTAATTTATAGTGTAACTCGCACGGAGAATATCTACGTCTAGCAATTAAGTAAATTTGTGGCACTTTGTGCACTTTTATTCAATTCGTAATAAATGTTTTGCTAATTCAATAATTCAAAATTGTGTATTATATGTATATTAAAATATACATAGCTCCTTATCAGCACTACCCAAAAATATCAATCGTTACTAGTGATGGTCGACTACACAGCTATTGTAGACTATGTGCCAAGGAATAAAAACCTAAAAATTAGCAGGCACTGTGAGCAAGAAAAATATTTGTGTCTTTCAGACTACATTGAAGTTGAAGCCGAATATCAAAATCATAGATCATGGACAGAGATCGATTAGCCCATTGTCAACCAGTGGATATTAACACACAAGAATTGTATGAAACTTTTGACGCAGTTCAAGTAAAAGATATCGTGGTTTTTTGTAAATAAATCGTACTTCCGTGCATCATTTATTCCAATGTAATGCATTTAAATCCTTGTCGCTCAATTCACTTTCAAATATTTTCTATTTGGCGCTCAAGTTTGGTGGAACTTGCTCTCTTTTTTTTGGGATTTGCTCTCTACTTTGGGTCGGCAAATCCTCTCTTTAATACTCTAAGGAAAAGGATATTATAGAGTTGAGGAAATGTTTGTTTTAAAGCTATCACTGCGAAATTTTGCAGTTTAGTGTCTACTTGCAGAGACCTAAAATACGTACCGGCATCGAGCTATACATATACATATACACAGGAAACTAATCAAATGCATGAATAGGTGCATAACCTATCTGAGAAAAGTTCATATAAAATTAACGAAATAGGGTATAGAAATGTCCATACTATACTCCGGTTGACAAGCAACAAGTCTGTAAACGTGACACTCCATACTCACGTTGTCACTGTTTCTGTATAGAACTTTTTTTTTTAAGCCATGTTCTATAAACAATACAACAAAAGGGAGTACCCAAAAGTAACAAACTTTTTGATGAAATTGATTCATCAATGGGATACAATTATGTAGGCAAAGCTCAGAGTCTTAGTTAGCCAGCATTATTCAACGGAATATACAAATTGAGGAATTGGGAGGATAACTCTTTTATGTTTGAGCTTTTTTAAACTTAATCCAATAAAAGGGTGTATTTAAAACAAGCCAGTCAAGTAGAAAATTGATTAATGTATTCGATAAAATGATGTGGGCAAGGCTGAGGGTGCTATCTAGCTAGTAATATTCGACGAAAGAACAAACACGAGGAATATGTATAATATAACTTAAATAATTCGTCAGTACATTTGCGGTATATATTGAAAATGAGACGGTATATTTTGGTATATTTCTAAGGTCTTGTACTTTTCATAGTATTTTTTAGTATTTTCCAGTAGTGCACAAGAATAATACAATTTATAATAATTTTTACGCAAATAAAACAACCAAAACTGTAATCGAACTCTGTGATAAGCTCTAAATAGTCGCCAAATAGTGGTAAGTAATGGAGTTTTATTCAGACGAGGTATTCAATAAACACAAATATCGCTGTTTTTGTCGACGTCAGTCAGTAAATCAACAAATAGTGGCAGGCCGCCACCGCCAGCCAGCGATAAGTGGTTTCTACTTTTATACAACACACAAGACAACGGCCAGCAGCGACAGAGAGCGAAACGATTTGAGCAGCTATCACATTCTCAGAATTTCCACTCAGTTAAGAAGTCGTTTATCCAACGCTGTAGGTTCACAGAAATGGGTGACAGCTCGGATGACGAATACTTGGGCACGGAATGGATTCCGTACAGCGAGCGCGCGGAGTGGGCCGATATAGCGCCGCTGGCCCAGGATGACGGCCCCAACCCAGTGGTATCCATAGCCTACAGCCAGAAGTGTGAGTAATGCCGAATAATATTAGTGTGGCAGACTGAATGTAATGTTTGATTGCAGTTCGCGAGGTATTCGATTTTATGCGTGCCATAATTGCCAAGGGAGAGAAGAGCCAGCGTGCCTTGGACCTGACCACAGACGCCCTGCGCCTGAATCCGGCCAACTACACGGTGTGGCAGTACAGGCGCGACATACTGAGAGAGCTGAAGGCCGATCTGAACGTGGAGCTGGACTACCTAAGCGAGGTGATCGGTCAAAACTCGAAGAACTATCAGGTGTGGCACCACAGGCGCGTCATTGTCGAGATGCTGGACGATGCCAGCAACGAGCTGGAGTTGACGGAGAATGCCCTGATAAACGATGGAGATGCCAAGAACTATCACGCCTGGCAGCATCGCCAGTGGGCCATACGCACATTTAAGTGAGTAGGAAAATCGCTGTTTAAGCTGTTTACTGCGATTGTACTTTACTGTATTTACTGTATTTGGTACATGCCTTGCAGCCTCTATGATTCCGAGCTGTCTTTTGTGGATCGCTTGATCGGTGAGGACCAGCGCAACAATTCGGCTTGGAATCAGCGCTTCTTTGTGATCAAGCACTTGGGCTTCAACCCTAACCTGGTCGATCAAGAGCTGATCTACGCTATGAATCGCATTCGCATCATCAAAAACAACGAGAGTGCCTGGAACTATTTGGTAGGAGTAATCCGACAGAGCCCGTACGGAAACGGGCTGCTGAACAACCATCCGGCTGTGGTGGAATTTGCTGAGGAACTCTACCAGGCCGGCAACCGTTCGCCATATCTGATGGCCTTCCTGATCGACCTCTACCAGGAGCAGACAATGCAGAACGAGTGTAGTGACCGCGAACAGAAAGCCCGCAAGGTGTATGACCTATGCGACGACATGGCTAGCAAACACGATGTGATTCGGCGCAAATACTGGCAGTATGTAGCCAATCATTTGAAGGACCAGCTGAACAAGAGCTCTGAGAAGGCGAATCAATAGTTCCATCAGTTCCATACTTGGCTTCGTCTTAGTTTTAATCTATTTGCGTACTTAGGCCTTCTTTATACAGAAATAAATTTAAATTGTAACCTACCCATCAGCCATGTTGCAAGCCCCAAACTCAGAACATTTCCACATCCATATATCATCTTTCATGCATGTTTATGTGAGTGTGCGAGAGCTTTTTTGTTTGCCGCATTGCTTGCTTTGCCTTGCCACACCGCTGCCATGTCCATGCATTGTTTATCTAAGCGCACCGGCGTGTTTGTACACGTAAATTTCATTAAATTAACAATGAGGCAGAGATAAGTTTAGCGCAGTATGTACTCTAGCTGGGAAGCTCTGTTCTCTGTTTTGAGTGGCAGAAGTGAGCCCATAAATTATAGAAAATAATTTTATGTTATGTTTGGTAAGAACAATCTTTTGTGTGAAAGTCTCTAGGTCAGCTACAAATTGTTGTGGGAAAATGGATGATACTTTTCTTCAGAGCGTTAAAAATTGCTTGAGACAGAAAGGAAAATGTAGTCACAGTCCCATTTTTAGTATGAATTAGTTAGTATTACGTAATCGCTTATCAAGGATGCATAAACAATTGGATCAGAAAAAAGAAGGGTCAGGTGTAGCTAGTCATAAATTAGACTTAAGCTCCTGCTGGGTCGATGTCGCTTGAATCGCAACCCGAAATCAATTTCTAAGATACTTTTAAGAGTTGTAAGCTACTAGGGTAGGGCAAATTACTATATAACATCCTCTCTAAAAGAGCATCATACAATATGTGTTCTGTTATTATCTGTAACGAGCCCTTTATCGACTGCTGCTGTAATTTGTTTGTTATCTGTTTCGTTTGGCGAAGTGGTGGTGGCGGTGAAGGCAGGAAACACCTTCAGTTGCTGTCTCAATATTGTTATTTATTTAAATTTGTTACTTGTATTTTTTTGTTTGTTTTTGGTTTTGTTCGAGTACATACAATATAGCAGTTTTGTAATATATAACTTTTTCATTAATTTGATTTTCTTGCATATATTTTGAGTTCTTTATAATGGAAATTCTCCCAGGAGCGATTCCAATTAGAATCTATCTTCTGAGAGGAGTGGGAGGGGGGGAGGGAGTATGTTCTTAAAATCAAGCAGAAGACATCTTTGGCGTGTTTTTTTTGGTTTGTTTCTTTTTTTTAGTTCAGCTAAATAGGGGCAAAAAATCATTGATCATTGAGTACTCGTTTGCATAGTTTAATAAAATTTCGTAATAATAAAATATATATTTATTTTGTTGTGTTTTTTGTTTGGTTTTCGCTTTCGTTATCCTTCCATTGGGCTTGGCTTGTGGGTATATATATAAATTAGAAAAAAGCCTATAAATCCAGATTTTCTTGTCGTCTCAAAAAATCAAAGCATTTCGTTTGGGCACAGCAAGTATTTAATAATATCTGAAAAATATATATGTATATATGTTTGATGTTTTTTGTATAGTATTGGATTCTTTAAATTGTCAAAAAAGAGGAGGAGGAAACGTGTCGTGTGCAAAGCTCTGTTCCATGGCCCAAACGAAATATTTGTTTTAATTTTTTTTTATTCCCAATTACGGAGTATCTTCCCATTCAGAGAGTGTTTTTGTTTTTTTTTTTTTAGCGCGGAGAGCCAGAAGAGAGAAGTTGTTGTTCTTGTGTTCGTTTAGTACATTTAACAATTTGATATATAGAGTTAATATATATATATATATATATAATAGTTTATAATAAATTGATGCGCTCGTTTTGTCTGGTCTGCTTTACGATCCATTCATTCTGTTTGTGCTTGCTCCACGTTCTTGGAGTACATTTTTGTAAAAGCATTTTTAGCAAAAAATTAAAAGTTTCTCTCTGTTCTTCGGTTCCTTTTTTAAAATTTTCGGACTTCAGCGTTCATTCTCTACGTAGACTTTGATCTCGAATTGTTATCAATACCCCCATATAAAATAAATCCTTTAACTGCTGTCGAAAATGTCCGTTCTCCGACGCCGCGTTCTGTGTGAGGAGGAAGCTTCATATACCATCTATAAATATACTCGTATTCGTACAGGTTCCATTAATAGATTAATAGATATATGTATGTGTAATCGTTTAAAAAATCAGCGCCACTTTTGTTTGTGCCTGTGTCCTGTCTGTCCTAAAGAGTCCTAAGAGGTGCTTACAGCATTAAGCATAAGTATAGCGTAGGTATAGCGCCCCAATCTGAGAACCTGCGAATCTGAGAATCAGCGTCCTGTTCCTACTTGTCCTCGCCGATGCCCTCGTCGGTTGTGGTCTTGCGCTCCCCCCTAGCCTCGTCGCTGCGGATATCACATTTTTCAGCCAACATATCCTCGATGCCCTCGTCGACGGTCTGGCTCTGGCTCTCGCCATGCACATGCTTGCCCAAGCGCCCCGCAACAATGACGCACTCCCCCTGAGGTAGTGGCGGAAACTTGGCATAGGATGAGTTACTTATGGTGCCCACAGTGCTATCCTCGTAGCAGTCGGGCGTCATCCGCACGCGGCACGTTTCGAAGGCCTTCTCGTAGCCGAGTTTCGTGTACAGATTCCGGGACGCATCATTCTGTGGACGAATCACAACGAAAGGCGTATAGCCACGCTCGATGACCAACTGCGTCAGAGACTTGGCCAGACGGATGCCATAACTGCAAAACGGGTGAACGAATTTATGGTTTAGAGCATTCAAGGGTCCACACATCTATGGGTAACACTATACAGCCATACTCACCCCATGCGTCGAAAATCTGGACGTGTTTGCATTGAAAACATAGCACCGTAGTACGAGTGGACCATCCATGCGGCCAGCTCACTGGTGTCCTTGCGAAAGATCCCCAAGCCGGGCAGCTTGCGCACGAGTATGTCAAAGAGCCGGACGCATTCGATTTCATTGGCAGGATATAGATCGTGTATGCCCTGCACATTGTCCAGGGTCAGCGGACGCATCTCCGCATCTTCCGGCAGCGGCTCCAGTTCCAGTTCGGCATTGAGCTTGTTGCACACATAGATATCACCACTGAGTCGCTCCATCACACCGAACTTTGAGTAGAAGTCATCCAGGCGATTCATAATGGCGATGTGCGTAAAGTTCAGGTACATAGGCTTCTGCCAATCTATAAGTACATCTTCGGTGCGCATCATATCTACATGCTCGATGTGTGCGGATGGACAAAATATCCCCAGGGTTTGGTAAATATTGTTGTGCGGCTGCAATATCAATTTGAGCGGTTTTTGATTTTTGGTTAATTTTTCTGGTTTTATTGTACTTACCGCAAGCGTGCATCCTGGAAAATGAAGAATTATCGGTTTTTCTGGCCAATCCTTAGCAACATAAAACTTAAAATCCCAAATACGATCATTCAGGTACGTTTTTATGGTTTGATGAAACTGCAAAGATACGAGTATGCACAATTTTAATTAAAATTTTGGAAAGAACTTATAGTTTCAGGTTCACATGATTACTATAGCCTAAGAGTTCCGTGGAACCATCGGTCTCGAGCATCAGATTCGTACACATTCTATGGGCGTATTTAAATAAAATATTTTAATGGACTTTTATCCCTCAAAAGCCGGTTGAATGCAGAAATTACCACAAAAATATTCACAGCCCCAGCGAGTCACGTGTTGGTGGAAATCGCATTCCTAAAGCTGTTGGTAACCGCCCCGAAAAGAAAAGTTTTTTCCCATTGAAAATCGAAACTTTAGCCAACTTCAAATCCTTGAGGCTGGTGCCAAGCCGCCGAAACTCCCTGCCACAGATATAGCCAGGGCTATAACAAAAGCACAGGCACAAGCCACACGTGATGGTGAGAGGGAAAGGCCAGGGCGGAGGGGTACAGTTCAAATTGAAGTACAACAAAAATAAGAGAAGAGTAGAGAAGCCAGCGTAAACAGTGAAAACAGGTCAACAAAAAGGAAAAACTGCGAGCCCGGCTCGGTTTGGGTTTGGGGTTGCATGATTTGTGGTATAGGCGGGCTGTGACGACGCCTTCTGAGTGCCACCCATTTTCCCATCCGTTTCGGTTCGGTTCGGTTCGGGAACATGCAGGTAATTGTTGGTAAATTATCTGAGAAATGGGCGTGGTAACTCTTTTCTGGGTGTCAAGTTACCGCTCAAATGCTCTACTGTTTTCGGAGATAAAGAAAGGAGCGAGAGGAAGAGGAAGAGATGGGGGGATATACACAGGGGGATATATTTATACGTACCTTTAATGATTCCGGCAGATAGCGTTCTAAAGTTACCAAAATTTCTGGAAGCTCTGATTCATGCACCAAACGAAAGTGTTTACCTTCAGGAATGATTTCCATTTCTGTGGAAAAACAACAATACCAAGAAAATGAAATAAATGCAGGTTTAACGTGGGGTTAATCATCTCGACTATTACCAAGGATTTTTTTCTCTCTGGGCTATACTTATACTCCTACAATATATGTAACGAAACCCTACGTATATGAAGGTCTCACGTTTTGGCCTCTTTCAAGGTCAGAGCTCAACGACAAAGTGAAATGAAAAGTCACAAAAAACAACAAGAACCGGAGAGAGTGGGCGCCACACACAACCGGACGGAGAGGATGCTCTGTTGCAAGTGCTTCCACGGTACATGGGGATTGTGGATTGGGGACAGGACTCATACGATGAGGACATATGTATGTGGCTGCCGTTGTTGCTGTTACCTGCTTAGCCATGCAAATGGGTTGTGTGTTGTGCATCGGAAGGACATCAGCAATTGAGCCAAATTACCAGCAAAGTGCAATGCCAAAATACCAGCATTGAACGGTAATCATCAAAATTCTGCCTCCTCCCCAACGTCCATAAACAATTTGATTTGATTAACCGAAATTTGAGCCAATTAGCGTCAGGTATTTTGATTCAATGATTTGGGGTACACTTAAATGGGAAATACTGGGCTGGGATTCCACTGGATTTCAATTGCAGCGATCAATATTTTATCTTCAGAACATTAGGAACACATAGGGAGCACCCAAACTATTCACAAAAGATTATTTCCTTGGGGTCAACCTATGCTCTACATCTTCTGAATTCTGATATTTTGCCACTTTATTTGTTTGTTATCGTGTTTGATTGATTGCCGTTGTGATTGATTGACTAATGCGCCAAATATCATTATCCTTCACTTGTCCAAGGACTCTCCTCTGCTCTGTTTAGAGTCTCCTCCCTGGTGGGTTACTATGACTATTTACTGCAGCCATAATATTTGTGTGCTGTGTCCCAAAATGAACGTAATAGTGTGGCACATGCTGGCTGGAATTAGAATTAGTCATGTTGTGCATGAGCCAAGATCCCATTCCAGAGAAACGGCGTGGGCGGATGTGGACCCCGCCCTGGCTGCGACTGCGACTGTGAGCGACACTACTGGCCAAGATATGCCACGAATGTGTCTGCATCACCACGTCTGCTCCGGCTCAGACAGGGCTACGGCTACACTGCATGTGTAGCATACGAGTATTCATCTACTCGTAAATGCAAGACAAAATCAATATCAGACCTAAGCGTTTTTTCTATTCCTGTGAAGAGCACACTTGGTCCGCACCTCGGCTTGTTCGGGTTGTTGCATGACGAAGCATAATGAAGGGAGCCCGAGACCGATTTTGTTGATTTTTATGGATAAAAATACCGTTGACATTTCACAGCGACACTCCGCACGGGCGGTCCCAGACCAAGTCAGAATCCGATTCCCGTTCGCACTAGCCGTATTCCCCGTTCCTTCCTTCCTTCCGAGAGTACCTGTGGCATGCCATCGCCATCGCACTTGCCAGCCAATTTATTCTGCTTTGCTTGTTTTTGCTGTTGGCCTAATTATTGAGATGCCGTATGGCTGCGATGCGTTAATTTTTAAAAACCCCTGCCAGAGGGTCTTATGAATTCGCCATGAAGTTGGTTCTTCGTTCCGTTCCCTTCCCTTCCCAAGAAATGGCATGATGGGAGGACCATGAGGGATGAGAAGTGTAGAAAGTGAAAGGCAAGGGGATGAATAAGACAGATTGGCAAAATTCCAAGGCGGCGGAAATTAAGAATACGAAATAAGGAAGTAAGAAGTAAAAAAGAAAAGAATTGCAGGAGAAAACTGAATGGAGTTCTGAATAATTTCACGATACGGAAGATTTAACAACAAAAGAATGAAGAAGGAGAAGGTACATACATACATATGTATAAGATCTCCTGAAAAGAGTCAGGAGCATTTTGAAAGCGGAAAGAGATTGAAAAAATCAAGAAAAAAGATTAGAGAAAAGATCGATAAGAGCAAAGGATTGAGTAGTAAACGGGAGACATAAATTAGGAGGAAAAAAGTGGATTAGGATAATGAAAGAAGAAACGAAGTAATAAGAAGATAATGTTGAACATCGACAAAGAATTTAACAATTAAAAACGAAAAGACTGTATAAAACAGGAAATAATTATGATTACTAGTTTTGAAGAAGAAACAAGTACCAGGAGAGGGTTGAAAAATGGATGTTCGGAAAGTCACGATGATATAATTCAGGTAAATAAAGAAGAAACAGGTTAGGCTAAAGGCAAAAAAAATATAACTTAAAGTAAGAAAAAGTTAAAAAAAAAAGAAAAGTTCAAGTTACAGAAAGATATATAAATAAAAACTATGCTAAAGTGTGTTGAATGTAAGGAACCCTTGAAATAACTAATATTTATAGGGGATTCAAAGCTCTTCAAAGACCCATCCTAACCCATTCCATTGGCAGATTTTGCAGGGTGTTCACCGATCGATTTGGGACATTAGTTGTGGGTCTTAGGCGCCGATTTCGTTTCGGATGCGATTTCTTGGGGCGCATCGCATCCACGATAATTGACATGCACATGTGCATCTTGACTTTTCAGGGAATGGCGCACAGAAACATTTGGTAAGGGACATTTTCGCAATTAAAACAAAACGAAAAAATGAAATACCCACAGATTTCGACTCTTACTCTTATAGTGCCCATGACTGGGTGCGGAACTTACAAAAAATATTAATTCCGTTGACCTTGTGTGAATTTCTGTGCGGTGCTGCTGCTGCTTCTGCGGTGTTGCGGCGGCGGTTGCGGTTGCGGTTGCTGGTGTTATTCTTGGCCTTATCCTCGAGGCGTGTCTGCTTTTGCGTGTGCCGTATTTATTTGTTTTAATTATTATTATAATATTTTATGTGTGTTAAAATGTGTTTAATAAATTATATGAATTTATCATAGACTTTTATTGGTTTTACTTTTTGGAAAAAGTGTTGTATGAAAATAATTGCTGTATTTATCCTTTCTTTCTATCTTTTGTTTTTTTTTTTTTATAAGCGAATCACAGATTTCTTTATTAGAAAATTCTTTAATTACTTGATGTAGTTATTATTTTATATATGTTTTTATTTCTCTAGCTCTGGATTTTATTTTATTGATAATTTTGTGATGAAATTGCTTCGCTGCTTCGGTTTAGGCCTTTTTCGAATGGAGATGTCGGCAGGCGTGAGATTCAGACAGAGAGAGACATAGAGAGAGAGAGCGAGAGACCAGCAGTTGTATGATGGATGATTGATTTGATTGATGGAACCTGGACTATATCGGATATCGATGCAGCACCACTCGATAGACGCACGCACACAGCTATGTTATGTTATCGCTTCAGTTGCTGCTGGAAACCCCTTTTGTTGTAGCCCCCGTTGCACCTCCACACAGACAGGCCTAACCAGCGGCGTTGCGTCTGGCAGAACCGATGTGGTTCGGTACGGTACTCTCTCTTTACGGTTGCACGGATCTGTCCCAAGGTACAACAACAGGCGTGTGCTGCTGTGCTGCTGCTAGTCCAGCATGGCGACCCCAAACGAAGAGTGCGACTGGGACGACCGGGACGACCGGGACGACACTGGGATGAGGGGGAAGCGACTGGGCTGATGTTGCTGCTGCTACACTTTTCTGTACTTGTACTTGAATGATTTTTTCTTGCCTTTCTTTAATGTATATCTTGTGTTAATTAGAAATTGATTTTCTGGCCCCGGTCTGGCCTGATTCTGCTTCCGTTGCGACTTCTTGAGTGGGCGGCTGTATGGAAATATGCTCTGGCTTTGGCTTTGGCTTTGGCTTTGGCTGCGACTGTAGTGTCGTCTGGCCCGAATCGGATTCGGATACCGTTTGAGTTAATACCGTTCTGACCAGCCAGCCCCAAGGACGCAGACACACACACACACACAGTCACGTACACGCACCCACAGCACAGTACACGCACAGGACAGGCAAATTGAGTTCTACTTCGGGGTAATTCGATTGCGGCTGGCTGGGGGCTTTCGGATCAACTTTTTGCATCGACTGTGGATGAATTTATTGCGCTGCTGTTGTTGTTACAGCTGCTCCTGCCGTGGCTCTGGTTGTTGCTGTTGCCTTCGCCTTGGATGGTCTTGGTCTGTCGCCTGGTTGTTGTTTTGGGCTACGTGTCCGTTTAATTCCGCAATGAAAAAACCCGAACTGAACTGACTGACTGACGACAACGATATGATTTCGAGTCCCAAGGAGCAGAAGCACCAAGCGGCAGCCGCAGGAGCAGAAACAGCAGCAGCAGCAGCAGATGTTGCCACACGTTTCTATGCTGTTGCTGTTTTCACTGTTATTCGTGCCGCCATACCGCTTCATACCATGCCGCTTCTTGTCCATATTGCAAATTCGAGAACGAAGCCAACTGCAACGTGGCAGCGCCGTCCTCTTCTATCGTTCTGCGTCGCTTGAATTCGTTCTCTCTGCGCTCTGCCTCTCTCGCGAGGGAATGCTCGCTCTTTCTAGCTGACTCTCTGGGTACACTTGCAGTAAAAAGGGTGTTCAAACGGCAGAGCACCACACACATCCATAAGGACACTAAGAACCGATTATATAATTATTTAATTCGATTTAATTTTTGTATCTCAGGAAAATTCTTGGGTTTTAATCAAAGAATACAACCACATACAGTCCTGGGCAGTGTTTCTGACTTTGAAATTAGCATATCATATGTATAGTACGTGCACACAAAAGTATTTAATTAAGGAATTGAAAAACACAAACGATACCTTACGATTATATTTTAGTAAAAGTCCCACCTTTAATAGGATTTACGAACACTTATTTAATGCAAAATATTATGTCGCATGATCTATACTATCCCTATAATATATGTATGTAGTATATCGAAAATAAAATTATATTGAAGTTATAGAATTTCCGCTAATTATATTCTTATACTTGTTCCTCTGGTTCTGCTTCTCCCAAAATGTTCTTCTCCGAAAAACAGGTATTTTTACGGGCTCAATAATCCTTCTAGTGTACAGCTGTGAAATGTTGTTCGCATACACCTTCACCACCTGGAAATTCTCTCAGTGTGCCTGCTCTTTGTTTTTGCTCGTCCTCCTTGTGTTTACCTCCCACTTCGGAACCGGACCGTAGCTGAGGCAGAGCGCCCTGCAATTGTGTGCGTGTGCAATGCGCTCTCACTCTCTCTGGAGCGTGTCCTTAAATGTGAGTGACGAGACGAAGGGAGTTTTTGCCTTTTGTTTTGCACGTTGCTGGTGCCGTTGCCTGGCGTAACGTAACTGTACACCGGAGCCGGAGCAGCGGCACAATTTTCGCATGATTGGGATGCGTTTTCTAAGCACATTAGGCGGCAACAACAGCTACAGCCACAGCCACATTTATTCACAGCAGCAACAACGGCAAGAATAGCAGCTAAACCCGAATAAACGGTAAAACAGTTGTTGGATAAAAGAAAAATGGCCACGGCGTCCGCGCAATACGTATACGCCACGTTGTGCCGACACATTTTAGAGCACGTGTCACTGAAGCCGGCACTCTCTCTCTCTCTCTTGCTGTCTCTCCGAGTTTTGTTTATGCCGCACAGCTGTGAGAATTGGACGACGGAGGAGAGTCACATCCACTTCCACATCCCATGTCTATGCCGAAAAAAATCCATTTTATTCGCCATAATTTGGACTGATACTCGTATGCCTCCCTGAATGACCAGAAAACGTTTTGCGGACTGGACCTGGACCCCAGCTCAAGGTCGCCTTTCCACTCTCCATGGAGGGGGGGGGGGGGGGGAGAGTTCGGAGATGAACTGCTGGTTCGTGTGTCTGCAATTGACATTTTTATTGGCACTAAGTGGTGCAGAAACTAGTTCCAGTTCCAGTAATTAAAGCAGACATGAAGACGCGCCAAAACACGCCCGGGGCGTTGCATTCGAGTTGCGAAACTATCTAGGACCCCATGCCCATACTCGCCATGCATCATGTTGAATCACGCAAATCCGAGGCAGCTTCAAGGCACGCAAAGACAATGACGCCAGTCCCACTTCCTTCTCCTTCTGCTCCGTCGCTTCTTCGCACTCCGCCCTGGTGTCGAGGACGCATAACGGCATACAAACGGCTTGTAATCGTAGTCATAGCCATATCCTACCAGTAGATACCCAAATTGCGCGGCATTTCCAAGGAAACTTTGCTCGTAAAACAAAATAACAGTTAGCTATCATTCTGACGGGTTTTTCTATGACATTTAGTCAGGTGGATTCATGGGCTGGGCGAGTACGAACTCTATTCTGTTCTGGCTGTGGCATTTGCGTAGGGCTGGGGTTAGACGAGGGAATTGGTGAAGTGCCGACAACTGTTTGACAGCAAAACTTTGGCCTTCAGTGCATTTATTAAAATTTATATATTGCCAATACTGTCAGGACAAAATACGGTGAAATCCCTCTACGGGAAACCCATACTATATGGATACAAAGCTCTTAGGATATCCTGTATAAAAGAAGAGCTGTAGCTGTATAAAAGAGTAAGTGCATTCAATTGGATTTTTAAATGTTTTCCATAAATGAAGATGTCTGCCCCGGGCACCCAGCTGTTCACCAAGATTTCACAGCCAAAGCTTTCACTGTATACACTGAGGGAAAGTTGGCTGAAGCTTGAACCAAACAACGTCGCACATTTCTCGCTGGAGTTAGCCAAGTACGAGTATATGCATTTTAAATAGCAATAGTCTGAATACCACCGAATCATTCTGCTATTAGAATCGTTTGTGAATCAATTTTGTTTTCGCATTCGCATTTTCCCCAAGTGCATGGATTTTCTCGATGGCTTTCCTCGAGCACCAAAACGAATGGCGGTGTTGACAAACGGCCTGGAGAGCGACTTTGGCGACTTGGGGCCTCGGCCTTGGCATAAAGTTCGCCGCTGGCCTTTAATTAGCTTTAGTTCGGATTACTCATTCGATGCCTGGCAGGGTCTGGGGCAGACAGGCCGCATTGGAATGGGGCATGGGGATTTGGGGACTGTGGCGGCTCCATTGTTTCAACGACGGCATGCGGATGAGGTTGGTCAAACGTGCATGTCTGGCACGTGTTTGCGTTAAAGTTTGCGACCCACTCCAGAGGGGGGGAGGAAGGCGTCAGGGGCAACTTAATGTCAGGGTCAATGCAGAGTTGCTTGCATGTGCGGCCAATTTGTTGAGTTTCCCTTATGTATAGTCTGTATGCACCATATAATATACGGAGATATTGCATAAATCAGAAAAACAAAAGAAGAAATTCAACAAAAGTTTCGGTTTACAAAGGGCCATCAGCGGAATTGTTCGGTATGACTATGGCTGTTGTGTTGACTGTTGGATGGGAGATGGTCAAGATACAATATTTATTCAAAAGCAATTGACAGGGGCAGGGGCAGGGCGCTTCTGTCGGCGACAGCTGCACCACTCTGGGGACACACACACACACACACGTGGCAGTCAAATATGTATATACATATATGATATATTGTATGTACAAAAGAATAGACGTGACCTTGACTGTGGCCGTGGCAATTAGAGTTATTTTCATTTGCATTAGGGGACATCTTTTCTCGGCAAAACGCACTGCATATCAAAATGGGGCCAAAATGGACTTGAATAATATATGGGAATAGTTTGGGGACTAGTCATTCTCGTCTAATGGCATCTACATATAGATATGTGTTGCTCATTCAAATATTTAAAATATGTAACGTACATGTTTGTTGGCGTTTCGTTGTGAATGTGCTTGAGTGGCATATCACTCAGCATGAGAATAATGGAGTGGTTGAGGTGGCTGGCCGAACAGCTGTTCGGCTGACGTCACGCAGATACTCATAAATGCAACGAAAACATAAGTCGGGTGAGTAATTTTGGATGGGCTATAAAAAGGGGTATGGACAACAGGCAAAAAGAGCCATGGAAAATTGCAAGGTTCGTACGAACCTCACCTTGCCGTGTTTTGACGAACATCATAGCCTGAACACAAGAAGCCGATTTGGTATATTAGGCAAAGGGGTGGGTTTGACCTTTAGCGCGTTCATATTCTGGCCGTGTTGCCTGTTGTCCATACCCTCTTTTTTCTCAGCGACATCCCAGCGGGCGGGTATAGAAGAACGGTTAGAGTTTGAATTTGAAATTTCAAGTAAGACAACAAAACATAACATGCTGACTTCTTTGTGTATGTAGATTAGTGTGTGGAGTTTTCGATCCTTACAACAAAATGATATACTAAGTTTAAGCTTAAGATAACATATTCTTTAACATGATTCAACTTAGGGCTATATTCGATTAAGTTGCCCCTTCGATTGCCCCACTGCCACTGTCAGAGACATCTGCAGCACCACTCGCATCCTTCTTGCTGGCCTTGCTCTCCTTTTTGTCTTTTTACGTCGTAGATCCTAAGAGCGCCAAGTGGAAAATTCATCAACAGTTGCAAGGCTATTGCAATCGGTATGTGTTTATTCTTTTTTCTTTTATTTTACTATCTGTTTCCCACATTATCACGCCGATTTTTCGCTCAGAAATATACCGTCTCCTCCTTCTATATTCCTCGACTTGTATATTCCGTGGAATGTTACTAGCTATCTAGATCTCTTCTCTCAGCCCTGCACACATCATTTTATCCAATTAATGAATCTATTTTCTACTTTACTGACTTAATTTAAATAATATAAACCTAGAGTGTGCATTTCATGGAATCGCACGGACAACACTGCGTATACGCGCTTTATTCCATCCGTTGATTTATTGCGTTTATGACGGCTTTTCACACGCTTTGTGAGAAATATTTATTTTGGATGTCTTCCTCGCTCTCTTACTAGCTCTTGTACATTCTCATATACAATGGTGACAATTAAATACGCTTCATCGATGCCAACCATCTGAAAGATAGTACGAGAGCACAAATTAAGACTTTGTGGATGCTCTGCTGAATACGTTTATATATTTGGCTTACCTCGTCTTCTAGTTGATAAGGTGGTCGCATAGAGCGATAAGGGATAGGGGATATCTGCATCTCCAAAGGACCTTGGGTCGAAGGATCTCTCACTGATTTCAGTATGTTTAGTGAACTTATCAGGAAGTCATGTCTGACTATGCAGAGTGTTCTGCCCAAATGGATAGTCTTGAGTTTTCGACATTGTCGGAAGATCTCAAGAATTTGCGTAGAAATATTTGGAAATAAATGTTCGGAAGTGATTTCCAGACTCTCGAGATTAGTCATTTTAGCCAAGAGAAAGAGGCGCTCTTCGTCCTTAAAGCCACAC